CCAGTCTGCAGGTCACCACAAACTTGTTATTCGACGCCACGCACATGCTGTGCCCAGGTACGGACTGTCATCTCTCACTGTGCCGTGCAGAGTGACAATGAGTTTGGAAAGTCCGTGTGCGGTTCTTATCGATTTACTTCCGCATACAGGATATGACAGGTCGTCAAGATCACCACTGCCCTGGTTCATATCTAAAGACAGCAAGCGGTCCTTGCGAAAATCTCGTTTCCAAATGCCGGGGCGATCCTTTGGGTGACTCCCGTCGCGGCCCAGCGGTAAAAGTACACAGCTCCACTTTGGGTGGGTTCGCTGTAAGAAAGCATCTTTGCCGGATTGTCCTCCTTATCAAAGCCCTTGCCTCGAAGCCCAAAAAGAAACTTTTGCAGCAGATCGAAGCGCGCGCGGACATTAATCTTAGGCAGGGGGAGTCAGCACCGTTTGAAGATCAGCCACCAATGCCTCGCCTCCGACGATCGTGACGCTAAGCGCCCCGAACACCGTCAGGAACGGCATGTGTGTTTCTGTCCTATCGATACGTTGACTACCGTCCAGACTCCGCGAAGCAAACAATGGGCGTCGCGTGAACCGTATATCGACTTGTTTCAGACAGCGACGGCATACTGCAAGCCTCGCTGCAAATTGAAGGCATTTGGGCGTCACTGCTAAGTATTTTTGTGACTCGCGGAGTGGGATCCTCTTATCCTACCCCTGACGCCCGCGCCGCCCACGAACTGCGCGCGGCTCCCCTGGCTTAGATCTCCACCTGGAAACAACGACGCACATACGCGAATCTAGTCACATAGTCAAACTTTTGGAAGCCTCAGCTAATCTCGTCCTAAAATGGGGCGCCTCAAGCGTGGACTGGCCACAGCAGGCTGCATGCAATCCCAGGTGTAGGTGGGTGTCGATGTATATTTACCCAGCACCCTGCCCGTCGTTTCTTACTCTTGTCGCTTGCTCTCCCATCGCTCTCTTTGGCTTCCGGTACGGGAATACCATTCTTTCATTCTTTTGGCTCTTCATATACACTCCTTTGACATCAAGAGCATCTAGAGTCTGTGACTCGGTCCTTTCATTAACAAACAGCTCACTCTTTTCGCTGTCTTAAAATTGAGATCCACTTCCATATACCCGAGCACTACCACTAAACAGCCATGCGTTTCGATATCATCTCCCTCACGGCTGGCTTTGCCGCAACTGCCTCCGCTCAATGCGTTGGCAACTACTTCAGCTTCTACAACCGTGCTGGTAATGCCATGAGCTACCAGCGCCTCGACCCCGGTCTATTCCCCGGAACTGAGAGCCCTCATCTCCACTCTTTCGACGGAGGAAATGGACTCTCCAAGTCCATGGGCTTTGCTGATACCCAGGCCTCGGACTGCACCACTGCTCGTGTCAAAACCGACAAGTCCTTGTACTGGCGCCCTACTCTGTTCTTCACCAACGGAACCAAACTTTACCGCGTACCCGAGCTGTCCACCAAGATCTACTACAAGTACGGGGATGGCAACAACTGGGCAAACGTCACGGCGTACCCAGAGGACTTCAACATGATCGCTGGTAGCCCGCTCAAGCGTTCGGATGGCGACAACCCAGCCGGTGTTCGTTGGGGCTGCCACGAGCCCGACGGTGGCTCCACAGCCATCTTCGCCAATGGTTTCCCCAAGGGCTTCAGCACCTGCAAGTACGGCTTCGCGTCCGAAGTCACCTTCCCCTCCTGCTGGAACGGTGAGAAGATGGACCCCAAGAACCCCAATGCGCACATGGCCTACCCCAATGGCAACGCTGGCATCGGTATCGAGAACTGCCCAACCACTCACAGGGCTGCGCGCTTCCCGACTCTCTTCATCGAGTACTGGTGGGATGTTACCAGCTTTACATTTGGTCCTGATGAGGCTCCTTGGCTCTTGTCCAACGGTGACCCAACTGGCTACGGCTTCCACGGTGACTTTGTAAGTTCTTCTACGCCTCTCTTATATGCCCTTACTAATATGACAACAGATGAACGGATGGGAGACTGGTGTCCTCGAGAAAGCTGTGAGTGAGAACGATGGCTGCAAGTGCGGCTGCGGATGCGGACAGGAAGAAATGGAACAGTGCTTCGGTTCCGAGAATGTCAACAAGGACAGCGACGAGTCCTGGGCAAGCTGCTCTGCCATAGAGGCGTACGGCGGCGATGATGGAAGCGTCCTCGATGCTCTCCCTGGTTGCAACCCTATCCAGTCTGGCCCTGCTTCTGCTACCTCAGCATCTGGCCCAGGCTGCACTGCTGCACCTGCCCCTGCTGGCAACAGCACAGCAACTTATTCCGCCACCATACGCCCAACTTCCGTGGCTGCCGTCTCATCTGTATATGGGGCTGCCCCCTCCGGCGTCTACTCCGCGGCCCTACCCAACGTCTCTTCTGCAGTGTCGGTAGTCGGAGAGGCCGCAACCCCTCTCCCCATGAGCGCCTTCTCATCTTACAGCGCCGTGCTTCCTGATAAGCAGATTGGCAAGCCAACTGGCGGCTACAATGCTGCACAGCCCACCCCAATTGCGTCTGAAGTTGCAGATGCTACTACCTGCACCGGCGGAGTTGTTGTCACTGAGACGGTAAAGGCGACAATCACCGTCACTGTCGACGGACATGCCGCTATGAACACAGGTTCCTACTAAGCTATGCTTTAAAGCAGATGACAGTTCCTCTACGCGTTGCCATGGCGCATCCGCATCTTGGAGCTTCCCTACCACCCAAAAAAGAACACTCAAGTCGTACATTTTCACGTTCTATGTATATACTTTGCCATTAACAGGCACACGAAGACTATAGAGGACAGATGAGATTTCCTCAGCCAATCGTTTACCGAAGACACTTTGCTGTTGCTTAATGACCCAACTTTGCGTATAGCGTGATGGGCAAGTGCTTCTAAAATGCTGGGTGTAGTGCAAGACTATACATGTTGATGTGTCGTGAGCACCACACAATGCACTCCATGTCTACCTCGTTGTCGGCACCAAGATGGTGCTCCAGGACGCGTGACTAAAGTTGCGAACTGGGCCCGCGTAGGGAAAATAGTGAAACCAGACGTGTAGGCTTTCTACGCTGCAGCGTTAAAGCCTTGCACCAAGCAGCCAATATATACGTCGTGCATCGAAGACGTTGTGGACTGTATCAACATTGGAAGAAAAAAAAAAGCCCCAAATTTGCGTTTTGCAACGTCCACCGTCTGCGAGGTCAAAAAGATGCTCACAAAGGTAGAAGCGAGCAAAAAAGGAGAGATGCGCTCTTGCGGACGCCGATGATGACTCATCGGAGGTTTGAACTCCGGACCTTCAGTGTACTGACAAGGCTTTCGAGGGCCTTTGTTAGACTGACGTGATAACCAACTACACCAACGAGCCCTGATTGATGAAATGAGGAGAACAAAGGACCAATATATTCCCAATTTATTGGACTCTTGCTTGCTCTGTCGCCTGGAATATGTTCGAGTTCAAGAAAGTGGGGTGCCGCAAAACTTGACCCGAGGCGGGCATCGTCGATTATTCGACCAGATCCACAAATCAGACAAGGTCCACGAGCTATCAGCTTAGCGTCGCTTCTTTCAATTGGTTGTTCCCTCGCAAGTTACCATGTTGACTCTTGCCAATGTCAAGATATCGAGAAAAGAGATGTCGACCCTGAAGCTGATGGGTCCTGGATCTTGGTCAATACTGATTAGGCGGTCCGAACGGAACTGCGCTTCCAAGATGAAGGTTGCCGTAGCCTGCTAGTAGCACGCACCTGTTGCTAATCCCCGTTGGGATCCGGGGAACCTAGCTCTGGAGAGGCGACCCCGTATCGTTTAAGCAGAAAGTATGTCGACAATGCTGGATTCGTATGGCAGTAGCGGGTGACAGACCAGCCCCTATAACATTACGTGTGCGATCGCATGGCCAACCTGCAAGTGGCAGTTTGTTGAATGTCGTCATACAATGATGCTGTAGGCGCCAGCTGCGTTGCTCTGAATGGGCGCTCGTAATTTGCTTGCAACGTGAACTGGACGCTACGAAGTACTCGCGCATCTAACAGGTATGTCGCGTTCGTCCCGTTCCTGTACCTCGTCTTCGGTATGGCGCAGGTACGCAGGCAAAGAACCAATCTCCTGTATGAAGTGCATGCCGCAGTTTGCAGATGTCGGTAGGATCGTGGACAAAGGTTAGTTGGGTCGAGTGGATAAGAGCTTGCGTTAGAGTTTTCTTGCGATTGGAAAGAACAGTCATCGCTGGTGGCTATGGTGGTTGCCTCTTCGGGCGTGTTTGAGCGCGCAACCGACGCGAGATGGAAGGAACTGACCAAACCATCCGCGCACTTACGGTCATTGGCTAGCATTCGTGCACCGATACCATTGATCCAAAAATAAAAAGAATATCCGTCGAACGTCACGTTGTCACCGTCTGCCAATCTTTCCTACAAAAGTCGCCCATCAAACATCTACGCGACATCCAGATCTCGTCGCTTCGCCGGCAGAGTGTTCTCCAGTTCGGCAGCGAAGCGAACCCCCCAGCAGCAGCACAGCCACGTGCTGTCGTTGACCCACTCAGAACGCTCCCCCAGAACATCCGTGCCAGGATAATCGGCAGCTCGACATGCGATTCGATCAAGAGTGCCATCCGATCTGTGGCTAGTGAGGGGCGAATCTGCGGGTACGCGACCTCATAACCGGCTGACGAAACCCTGGATCTGCATGACATTTTCCAAGTGCAGTAAAGAGACCGGCGGGCTGTGGTGACGATCTATAAGTCAATCGCCACTTTGCAACGACTTTGCTCGCTGCAACGAATTATGGACGTCGACGGCATGCAACAATGTACATGGGTATGAACAGGTCAAAAAGTATGGCCACCGCTGCTGCTGGGCGTCGGCTTCTGGATTGCTTGTACCATTGTTGCCAGACATGAAGCGTTGACACTGCGAACATTGACTCTCCGCCATTTGCTTTTATTACTACTGCTTTCTTTACAACACTCGCTCCGCATATATGCATTCGTTAAGAGGATGGAATTGGTTGGCTCTGGGTGGTCTGGTTGGACTGGTACACAGCGCTGCATTGCCTGTTATTACACCTGCGCCGCAACCAGACCGAGTTGGCATTCGGTCACTAAAGTATAGGCAAGACCCTGATGCGTAAGATGCCCTCTTATGTACAATTAAAAGTGCAACCGCGCTAACGTCACATCAGCATCGAAATATTACAGGTGCTTATTACTGCACTACCACTTTCGCTACGGCAAATCGCTGCGACGAACATACCCGCAGTCTCGAGCATACTATGGGAGGAATTCTTGGACGACAACCGGCCAGACTGGTTCAACGAGCTCCCATATGATATACAGTCTTACTTCATACAAGAATTCGGACCAGCGACGGCAGCGCCACCTGCGAGCGAAGCATTGCCCACTGATGTCACCGCATCCGCAACGGAGGTACCAACAGGGGCAGCCTCGAATACAGATTCGTCAGTGATAGAAACACTGTCCACTAGTGCGGTGGACTCTTCTAGGACATCAGGATCCGAAAGCTTGAGTACAACACCTACGCCTATGCCATCTTCGACTAGTCTCTTGAGCGATACATCCAGTCTGGCGTCATCCTCAGAATCTTCTTCTGCGTCTTCAACTATCTTTTCAACTTCGCCATCGCCATCAAGTTCCTCTGCGACTCCAAGCTCGACCACAGATCCTCTAGCGCCAGCATCCAGCGATTCTGGCCTGACAAGACGCGAGAAAATTGGGCTGGGTGTAGGTGTGCCACTAGCCGTACTTGCGATTGCCGCAATATTGTTTGGATGCTGCTTTATCCTGCGCAGAAGGAGAAGAAGATCCATTGAAGGCAGTCAACCCCCCTCATCACCCGGCTTCATTCCTCGTTTCTCATTCCAGGACCGAGGCCTCAGCGTCGAGAATTTCGAACACAGGCGACCCTTGAACCCCGCAGCACAACAGAAAAGCCGGTTTGTGGAAGACATGAACTGGGAAGATGATGGCTATGACCCGGCACCTATGTCTACAGCCTACCAGGGCCATACGATACCACCGGCTGCAGGCGTGTCTCACCCTAACCAAGGGTATTCTTTGCCAGTAGAATCAACACCAATGACGATGCAAGACAACCACACGCCCATTCTAGCGCCCGCGCTCTATCATAGCCACTCGTCAAACCGAGCCCGTGGCCGACGAACAAGCTACACTAGTCTTCACTCTGTGGCCGAAGTCACAGAACCTGACGACGAAATGAACGGAGAGTCCCCTATCCTAGGGCGTCACAACTCACCCCCCAAGACAGGTCCTCGAAGACCCGGTATGTCTGCCTTGGACACGCTACCTGTTGCCGCTGTAGCGAGCATAAAGCGAAAGCCTGTACCCACAAGTCCGATCAGTAGCCCTGCAGCGGAAGCATCCCGAGGCCTCCTCCGACCCTCTCTGGCACAAAACACCGCCGATCATAGTGGTAGCAGTTCCTCCGGTCTTGCCGTCTCCAGTATGTCTTCCAACTCTGGGCACGTATACCACTCAGACGATTCCGCGCCCATTTCTCCCATTACGCACCAGAAAACGTCTTCGAACCCCTTTGCAGGCGGATATTCCTATCTTGAGGATTACGGCCCTGAGTATTCGAACGATGGGTACAACGACCAGGATGACGAGCTGTATGGCGGACACAGGACTTTGGATCGGTATCCAGACCCCAATCCGCCAATGAGAAAAAGCAGCAAGACAGAATGGCCATTGAGAAACGTCATGGGTGGCGGTGGTCAGAAGAGGACGAGAAGTCCCATGTGGGATCGTGTTTATGAACGTGTATGATGCATGGTAACGAACGATTTCCTTTGTTGTACATATGCACATTTTTGCATGCTATGATCTGGCACTGGCGTTTTGTTTTTCAGGAGAATGAGTGTTGATGAAATCCACTCCTTGAAGCGACGATACACAGCGTCTTTGTACGCATGTTCTTGATTTTGTTCTTGTATACCCCCCTTCACAGTATATATAGGAGCCTCAGCAGTTGGCCCAGGCAAGAATTCATATCACCATCATGTCAGAAATGAAACCTGCTTGCTGAGATAATGATCGATGTGGTAATGTGCATGTAATAAAGCTCGCTAAAAGTTCCGAGTAGTCTACAAGACCTCGTGCATGTACAGTCTACTCAGCAAAAGCCCATTCTCCCAGTCCGACGCAGACCCCTTCCTGCCTGTGCTCCATGACGGCCAAACGCTCCAGTCTGATCACAAGCCAGCTCATCGTAACCGACGCCCACGCTAGTCTCTTAGTCATGGAACTTCCTGTTCTCGTTCTCTCCGAAAAGTGTGACCCTGATGGATGGCAGGGCCTGGGACTCGAGTAGCTTCAATCGTTCTTGGAAAGTGTTGTTGATGTCGATTCGGCCGTTGGTTCCAACAATCATAGCGCCACCAGCACTGTCTAGAATCAGCCATGTGTCAAATATTCCACGGCAACCAAACTTACGATCCCTCAGGCAGTGGGTCGCTCTCATCGATGGTGATGGAGACTTCCTTGCCAATGTTCTTCTTGTACTCGGTCTGCGCCTCCTCGATGGCCTTCTTAGTGAGGTCGTAGTCGGCCTTGCGCACCTTGACCTGCAGCTTGTCCTCGTTGAGCGCATAGGCACCCTCGACGATCAGGTCCTTCATGATGCTCTGGTACTTCTTCTTGTCCTTTGAAACGTCGCCCAGCTTCTTCTCGGCTTGCTCGAACAGCTTGTTGAGCAGCTCCTGGCGGGCAGACAGAATGCGTAATCGGCTCTTGTTGGAGACGGTGGAGCGGGTGATTTGCTGCGACATGCTGGCCTGTTTGAACTTCTTCTCATACGACGAGTCAATCGAGGCCTGTTCCTGGCGCACTAGCTTGGACTTCTCGATGGCGAACTCCTCGTCGGCCTTGAGGCGGATCTCGTTTGCCTTTTCCATGGCTTCTTGGCGGATAAAGGCCGTCATCTTCTTCAGCTCGCCGGCGACCTGCCATCGGGGTCAGTGTTAGCTGTGGTGTTGACGTAGTGGGTGGGGAGCTTGCAGCTGGCTGAAGCTGGGGGAGAGTCGTACCTGGTCGTCGGAGAGGGCGTGTACTTGCGACATGATGGCGGTATTGTGTGGGGGGCCTCTGGTTTACGGGGGGGGGGAGGAGATATATGGGTGCTGGCGTCGAGGGTATCGCGAGTGACGGAGCTTGGAGGTTGATGTTCAAGCTTGGGCCCCAGATGCTGCCCGCGGTTACCCAGGTACGCCCTCGAGCGATGCATGGCACGACGTCGCAGATAGACGCGGGAACAGTCTCAAGAGCATCACTGCAATTATACGTCTCTGCCATATCGTCTCCCTACCGACGCGACATCTTCTCGTTGCTGCACCCGCGCTGTCCTCGTCGACCCAACTACATCATCAGTCGGCTGATCCCTGCCACATGCACGGCGTCGGCTAGTCTTCCCCAACCGTCTCGTGCACTTCACCGACTCAGCGTGACGTTTCGCGACTCCCACGCCTGCGCTGTCCAAGACAGAAGAATACACGTTCCCGACTTTCCACACACACACACACACACACACACACACACACACACACCACACACAGCATGCGCCCGACATCCAGGTAGCCATAGGCGCAGTGCAGCGACGACAACCGACCAGGAAACATGGTGGAACTCTCGCCGGGCGCGAGCGTTGCTGTCAGTATACATGGAGCCATGCCGCCATGGGTATAGAGTGCTAACGCGTGGGCATGCAGCTTGGGGTAATGGTCGGACTCGCCTCCACCAGCATTCAGAGCATCGGCTTGACGCTGCAACGCAAGTCCCATCTCCTAGAAGAGGAAAAGGACGACGACGACGACCGGCGACCTCCATACAAGCGGCGGAGATGGCAGGTACGAACATGGCCAGATGACATGGCATTCACTCACTAATCTACGCAGCTGGGCATGCTCATGTTCGTCGTGGCAAACATCGTCGGCAGCACCATCCAAATCACCACCCTACCCCTTCCCGTTCTCTCCACCCTACAGGCATCCGGCCTCGTCTTCAACTCGATATGCGCCTCCATCATTCTCAGCGAACCGTTTACGCGATACTCCTTTGTTGGCACCATGCTTGTTGCCATAGGCGCACTGCTGATAGCCTTGTTTGGTGCCATTGCAGAACCGTCGCATAATCTCGACCAATTGTTGAGGCTGTTGGGACGGAAAGCTTTCCTCACATGGATGATCTTGACGGGTGTGGTAGTCGTCATGCTGGTCCTTGCGACGTGGCTACTGAAGCGCATGCATCCACGAACCACCCCTCGATTACGCCTTATCCGTGGAATGTTCTTTGGCTGCGTCAGTGGCATCCTCTCTGCGCATTCGCTCCTCATCGCCAAGAGTGCTGTCGAGCTTCTGGTCCGGACCATCATTGACCGTCACAACCAGTTTGACCGTTGGCAGTCGTGGATGATTCTGGTCGGACTAGTCGTCTTCGCCCTGACCCAACTCTACTACATGCATCGTGGACTGAAGTTGGTCAGTACGAGTGTGCTTTATCCTCTAGTATTCTGCGTCTACAACATCATCGCAATCATAGATGGCCTGATCTACTTCGACCAAAGCGATCGCTTGTCGAGTCTGCACGCTGGCCTAATTGCGCTCGGAACTATAATACTGCTCGCTGGAGTTGTCTGCCTGAGCTGGCGTCTCGAAGACAACGAGGAAGAACCCACATCACCAATCGCAAGCAAGCATACGGGCAGAGTTCAGATGCCCCAGACAGTGCTACAACCCGGCATTGGTCTTGCGCACGGCCACTCTTTTGACGACCCTGCATCACCTCTGGATATCGACGAAGAAGCCCCCGGCGCTCATGGCTATGCCTCCGAACAAGCCAAACGGAAAGCTGTCGATGAAAGAACACCACTGTTAGCTCGCGCCCCAACCGGTCCCGCTCTTACCCTCGCCAACCCGAAGAAGCGAGCATCAGTAGACGCTGGTGAACCGAAGAGTCCTCAAACACATTCCCGCAGACCCCAAAGAAGACGGCGGATGACTATTTCAGAAGAAACAAACGAGATCTGGGATGAACTCAACGACAGAGAGACTCTGCCATCTCCTGCCAGGCGATCTGTGGATCTAGAGCGACGACCAAGGTCAGGAACCTTACCGCCACGGAGAAACAATGCACAGTCGGCATGGCTCAATCAGATGCGTCGGCGGTCTTGGTTCGACGGGTTCGGTAGCGGGCGAGGCAGAAGTGTGTCGCAGGGAAAACAGCCCATGAATAGCTCTGCGTCACTTCTTGATCATCCCGATCCAGATGACGGCGATGCATCTGACGCAGACATGGAAGATACATCCCGGAGAAGACAGATTTGGGGATACGGCCAGAGGAGCAAGAGCCAAGATGCTTTGGGAGACTGGTTCAAGCTGAAATGGTGGCGCAAGAAGTGGAGAGAAGATGAAGACCATGAAGAAGAACGACCTATATGATATTACTACAACTTCCAGCAATTTGAATATACCCAGAATGTATTATCAGCATTTCAGACACGCAATACCAATGATTACTGCGCAACATGACTACCCCTCATAGGAAAGAAGAACGTCCACTTTACGAAAGCTAACCCAGTCATACTCGGAAGCCTCGTTTGAGCCTTAACCCACATATGCAGGATCCCAGATGGAGTAATCCTTTCCTGACGATAAGATAATAGCCAATCGCACATTGCGTCTTGTTGCCCCACCTACATCACCCCACTATCCGCGTACACTTCCAACACCTTGGAGCCGTCTTGCTCATCCCTCGCAGGGCGCACTAACAGACGTAAAGCAGTGGATATCGTGGCAAAGCTTAACTAAAATCTAGCCAGATCAGCTAGGTTTTGGTGCAAGCCAAGCGCCGCATCTAGTATCAAAGTCCCAGACACTACGCTGCTCTATGCTAATACAGCGGTTAACTGGATACCGGAAGAAGGGAAACTCCGTTTCACAGGGCGCAGTTGGTAGATGAAGATGCCGTTAGTCTCGATTATTGGGTCACGATGAGTAAGATTGGCGTACATAAAGCTGGCCGTGCTCTTGTAAGTTCCACTTACGGCGACCTTTAGGACACTGCATAGCTCCAGTCATCGTCAGGATCTTACACAACACAATACGAATTATAGGATCAAAAGCAGCATACCTTACTTCGTGCCACTGTGCGTCGAGCTCACAGAACTTGGACTTTGTAGATTTTCACTAACAACAGACAGCCACACCTTTGTTTCATATATCACAGGGTTCTGCTATACAGCCGCCACCATGCCAGCGATGCAGTACTTCGAGAAGGCGCAAACAACGTTCAAGCCGCCGCTAATCGCCAACGAAAACGCCTATCTCGGTGACGTCGTATCATCGTATGCTTGCCCTATATATTCTATCAACCCACCACCACCACTGACTGTTCTCTACCAGAGAGTCTACAGATCCAGAGAAACCCATCAGCGGTGGTTTCTACCGTCTGGAGAAGGGAACGCCGCTCGTGTACACGTATACGTATGATGAGATAAAAATCATCGTTGATGGGCACTTCTACATCAGTGACGAAACGGGCAAAGAAGTCAAAGCCGAGAAGGGTGATGTGTTCTTCTTCCCAAAAGGGAGCAAAATCACGTTCAAGACGGATGATTTTGGACTAGGGTTCTTTGTGGGGCAGAGGAAGAAAGATGGTGCGTAGACAGCGGGTCAGAAGGGAAGAACAAGAATAAGAATACAATGAAAGTCCTGTATCGAACGCACGGTATCGCCATAATTGCACAAATCAGCTAGTATGCCTTGAGATATCTCGCTTTGCTTACCAATATCAGCACGCCGTGTTCATTCGAAGGTATTGCACACATCAAATCGTTTAGCGTGTGCCTTGAGTTTCTCACGTTCAATGAATAGAGTCGTGCCGAAAGTCATCACAAATTACTCTGGATACGTATGGACGGGGAGGTTTCATCGGTGAGGTCAGCTTTGGTCTATGTCGACTACGTTTAGTGTTAACGCAAGCATAACAACGACGTACGGGACTGCTCCCATAGCCTTCGGTGAGTACATACTCATTTACAAGACTCTCAGGCTTCTTACTGGCCCAATGTCAGGCTTTGATCCTCTCTACCAAACCAATACTGGCAGGTACCATGGTAACGACTACTTCAACCACGAAAATCGTAATGCATCTCTAGTAGTATATTCGAACCTTATTGTCACACAGTGCTATGTCTTAAGTCTCATAAATTCTACCCGCCCAACCCCAACCCCAACTCACTCAAGCATACGAGCCAGTCTTTCCTCCAAGGTCTCAGCAATCGCGACTGGATGAGGATGGGATAACCGTTTGATACTAACGATTTACGTGTTTACAGAAGGTTCAGTCAGCTTTTTACTAAAAAAAAATACTATCTGGGAGATGGTGGGGATGGCATAGTCCACGCATACGAACACAAATCTTCCAAAGCACTCGTCGCAGTGAAAACGCCGCACGGGTTCACTTCTGAGTCTGACAGAATCAAGGCAACCAAGCGATTCGAGGCCGAAATTGAAAATCTCTCAGTCGTTCAACAGCACGCACACATCGCAGGGCTGTTGGCGTGGTCCTCTACTCCCATGGCAATCTTCCTTCCGTTCTGCGAGTTGGGTGATCTTACCAGTTACGTGGTCAAGTGGAAATCTGAACAGAGAAGGCAGCGAAAAACCATACAACGTATATCCGAAGTCACGATATGGAAATGTTTACATGATATGGTTCTTGCCTTGGATTATCTGCATAACAAGTGCGAGAATTACGGCTATACGCACAATGATATCAAGCCAGACAACATCCTAGTTGAAATACACAAGAGCTGGAAGATGGAAGACGGAATCACCGATGAGCCTATCTTCAGACTGACCGACTTTGCCCGTATGACGCGAGAGCATCCAACCGAAAGCGCACAGTTGACCTGCTTTTGCGGTACACCCGAATATGCACCACCCTTCAACGAGCGAGGGGCTTTACGACCGTCCGGCGACATCTGGGCTCTAGGCGGTACCTTGCAAACCCTCGCTCTGGGTGTCTACCCCATTCAATCTCACGAAGCTTTCTCCGATAGCAGAAGAAGTCAGGAGAAGTTGGTCCCTCTTCTCATCGACAAAAATACCTGAAAAAAAAAGCCACTGGCGTCATCTCATATCAATCACCTTCCGGGCCCTCTCAGCCACAAAAGAGGAACTGATCAATGACTTCGACGTCCATCATTCTATAGTCATTGAAGAATTCTATTCGAACCGTCCATGGGAGCATAACCCTTATAGCAAACGGCTCGATCGTTGGTATCAGTGGATGTTTGAGAAAGATGAGAAAAAGAGGGCCACTGCGAAGATATTAGTGAGGTATTGTGTGCCATCTATTGCGAGAAAGATTCTCGTGGCAAGGGAAGAGGAGAAGGCACTGGAATGTTTTGAGAGAGCAAAGGCGCTAAGAGACGAGATTGTAATGGAACAGCAGAGCAGGGTAGCAGAGGTCGAAGCGGAGTAGAATAAATGCATCGTCTTTACAATACGATGGTCAAAGAGTGCGTTGAAGATTTCATTCCTTGTTTCATTGCTGTAAATGGTCCATTGCTCCCACTGCTACCAACGAGCGCTCAGATCTAAGGCTTATAGTTCCTGCTTGGAAGAAGTGGAGTTCTTAACTCTGGAGATCTTGAAGCCACCAGGAGCTTGAGTCTGGAACATGCCATTGGGGTCATACTTCTTAGCAGCAGCCAGGATCTTAGCAACATTTGCAGCGCCGTAGCTACCAAGTGGGTCCTGGTAAGCATCGGCATAGTTCAGGTACTGCCAGTCTACTAGAGCATCTTGGCTGGCAGCGAACCTTTGCATATCTTCGGTAGCGGCCCTAAGTGCTTCCCTCGCGCGAACCTCGGTCTCTTCACCCTTGACAGCAATATCGAAAAGGAGCATGATGGCGTTGTCCTTGACGAGATCCAGACCCAAGACGTTGCCCCCACGTTCCGCACTGTGCTTGGCAAAAATGGTCGGAATAGCTTGGAACATGCATTGGGTGATAAAGTCGTGGTCTGTGTTATCCGCCTTCCATGCATCGACAAACTTGGTGTGTGCATCAACAATGTATTTAAACACGATAGGGTCGTTCTTGAAGGTCATCGTGAACCAGATGTCACTAATAGTTGTCAGTTTCATATATGGTAGTGGCCCCCTCTCTCCAATTGCAGGTGGAACATACCGGTATCCAGTGGGTTGCTCAAGCTCATCAGTGAGATTCTTGTGACTCGCCAATCTCGTGGTGTCGGCTATGGCTGGGATAGCCATAAATTTGTCAAAGCCTGCAGGAGCAACATTGCCAGCGACGTCTTCGTACGCAGCGATGATGACAATATCCTCCATGGTGGGAAGATAGCTCCAAAAGACGATACTGGAGCCGTCGGGGTAGTTCTCGACATTGTCGACCCATGCTGTGTAGGCATCGATGTGTTGCTGTGTATGGTTTTTGGTATGGATTCTCGAGCCACCCCAAAGATCTCCCGCGGTGAAAGTCTCCATATCATAACGAGTAACGATGCCAAAGTTGAATGAACCACCTTTGAGGGCTCGGAACAGGTCGCTGTTACATGTGACGTTTGCGTTGACGATTTCGCTACTGCATGTTAGTAACAGACCCCAAATCTTCGCCGCCCAGCTTTTTGGATACTTACCCATCGGCAAGAACGACCTCGTAATTCTGCACTTGGTCACAGGCGAAACCTCGACGAGCAGTGTAGAAGGAGTTTCCTCCTCCTGTCAAGAAACCGGCTACACCAACGCTGCTTGCTCGGCCACCCGCGACAGTGACACCATGAGGCTCAAGTGCTCCGTACACACCACCCCATCGGGTTCCGGGTTGAAACCGTGCGAGGTTTGCTTCCGCATCATAGACGGTTGTGTTCATGAGACCGAGGTCAAGTGTTACTCCATCGTTGATGTTGTTGGAGCCAGCCCAGGTTGCATGACCGCCACTTCGCACGGCGAATTTGCAGTTGCTTTGCGCACCTAGTGTTTTGATGGCAGTAGATACTTCTTCAGTAGATACTGGTTGAACAATACACTTGGGATGCAGCTGAGCGCTCACGGACCAGTACGACGCCGTCCGATTCTTGTACTGCTCATCATCCTCGTAAAAGATGTTTGCTAGTCCAGCATCCTTCAGCGAAGAACACTAAAATTGGTCAGTATTGCATGAACTTTGACCAGGGAGTACATAACGTACACAAGTTTCGTTCTTGCTGCCAAGAACCACGTCCCTGATGGCACCGAATTGGGTAGCATCGGCGCATAAACCCAGAGATGCAACGACGGTCGGTGCGAGGAGCTTCATGCTGTTTCAACTTGAGAACTTGGCACACTCGAAAACGTGGATGTCGAACCGATGCGTTGGGTCTAAGGGATTTTATTGTCGCCATAGCTGCAGATTGACCAGACAATGAGCGGCTAACAGTACCCGCACAAGAAACCGCTCTAACTTGGCATTTAAACCTGATCAGTGACATTCTTATGCGGCTCTTATGCTGATCTTAACTGGTATAGCAAAACGGTAAATATCCGTCCGCCGTCCCAACACGTGCCGTCTGCAACGACCTATTGGAGGTATGTGCTGTTCCTGGTCCCTGAAGTACGAGACGTCGACCCATATATTTTCATCGATATGATAGGCAAATATAATGCTCAAGAACGAGGCGGTCAAATAGAACCTATCAGGCCCCTGGCCGGCGCCGCGAGCGGCCCGAAGAATAAGCCCACAGTTACGGGAACAGTTAGTGCCGTCGGCCTTACCCGCCGAGGTTTTGGTTCCTTCAGATCACGACTCATCGCACGCGTCAGCATCGACTTTTTGCTCGCATCGCAGCCAATCACCTTTCCCCAGGAACGTTGATCAAGAGGGGAGCTGCTCGCATATCGAACACCTAAGCCGGTCGTGATATCTTCCGACTACATGGGGAATTGAGCCAAGTGAACAGAGGATCCTTTCGTAGTGTGCGTTGTTTTGGTCTGCTATACAATTTCGGTTGGTTTGAAGTCAGTAAGTCATTGATTGGATGAGTAGAAAGGTTTGATCGTGGTACTCACATGAAAGTACCTGACTTATCGTGAACATACCTGTGTAAGTAAAAACTCCGAATCGTCGCTTAGTGTTGTATTTAGTGTAATTCCAAGCCCGTGACGAAGTCAGGATTTGCGCGACGAAGTCAACTTTTCCGAGACAGGGCCTTCGTATCCAGGCAAGCAATTATGTGCGATCGACGTCGATATCCCCCACGCCCACTTCCCTCTCCCGCCCCTGGTTTGGGAACCTAGCGCAAACCTCGCTCTCGAGCCTCTAGGCAGTCTTTAGACTGAACCACGTCCCTCCTTTAGTCATAGGAGTAAGTTTCAAAGGTCCTAGGTATACAAGCTCTCCCTCGCAGGAGAGACCTTTAGCTTCCGCTCCCGAGCGACGTTGTGGTTAAATCAACAACACATTCTTTGTCCAGACTTTACTGCGTCATGTCGAATGTCAATGGCGTTATAACCGCCATTCCTCCACCTCATGGCTATGAGGTCAACTTTGCGAACCCGCAGAGAAGGCTGCTCACAGAAGCCTATGTCATCTTCACAATCGAGAACATCCTAGCGCTTATGTTCCTTGGGCAGCGGCTTTATACCAAAGTTCGTCTCATGAAGCAGTTCCAGATTGACGACGGTACTGTGTTTGGTAAAATCAGCCTAGAAAATCTACTGACAAAAGTTAGCCTTGGTTATTCTCGGTTGGGCCTGCTCGGTGGGAACCCAGGGTGTTTTGATCACTGGTTTCTCCACCGGCAGCATGGGCGTACACGCCTGGGAGATTCCAATTGAGAAGTACGCCTTTTACTCACGGGTAAGCTGATATCTTTTTTTAATTACTTGCGTTTTTTGTTCGTGTGCTAATGCAACGACTTCGTAGCTCATTCTCGCCGCCCCACTGGTTTATGCACCTTGCTGCGCCTTGACAAAGATCACGCTCTGTATCTTTTACAGTCGCCTCTCTCCATCCGTAGCCTTCCAATGGGCTGTTTGGACAACTGTCGTTATCTGCGCCAGTTCATACATCGCGATTTTCTTCAGTCTGCTATTCGCATGCAAGCCCATTGCTGCCAGTTGGGACCCATTGTTGCGCCCAACTGCGGCGTGCGTCAACCAAGGAGCGATTTATATCGCTACAGCTGTGATTGGGATCGTAACGGACGTGATGCTGATCTCGATTCCCATTCCGACTATCTGGGGCCTGCAAATGCCGACGAAACAGAAAATTGGACTAACTCTTATGTTCGGTGTCGGATCAATGTAAGTGTTAACCGGGGTGCAAGTCGTGCTCTGAATGGCTGCTGACTTGAGGCAGCACAATGGTCACGTCTATTATTCGCCTCATTGTTTTGATCCCAGCTCTAACAGATATGGACCAAACCTGGATCATAGCCGTAGGCTCTTTGTGGATGTAAGGCTTCCGTTATCGTGGTGTCTCCAGATACCTAGAATTGTTTCAACTGATCAAAACACAGCATCATCGAAAGTAACTTGTTCGTCATATGCTGTTGCTTACCGACCCTGCGGCGCTTCCTCAAGCACGTCGCACCGCGACTTATTGGCGAAAGTCGCTCGTCTGAAAACAAAGACTCGTCTGATCGCAATCACGGACTGCGGACTTGGGGAAGTGAAAACACAGGCCCGAAGCGCAAGTACGATACTTTGATGCGTACAGTAGACGGCACAACGCAAGGGGACGGCGATGACGAGATTCCCCTTGCCAGTGTCCCGAACAAAGCAGGCTTTCGCGACCGAGAACGCAAAGTACCGATCGGAAACGTCGAGATGAAGGGAGACAATGATAGCGAGGAAGCTATCTTGTACGAGCGGACCGTCCAGGTTACTTATGACGGCGGCGCAGGAGGCGACCCCGCGAATCCGTACACACGTCAGGTCTGGGCAGGGGGGCAACAGAGTCCTACAAATCTGTAGGCTTCGGGACAGCTCTATGCTGGAATCTCGGTTCTCGCTATGATCGCTTGCTTACGACAGTGTATGAGACTTCTAGGGGCATTTCGAAATGCAGTTAAGGATCGAGTTCAACCACAGAGCAGACAGATGTTGAGTGTGGTAGGGCTGGTACCTGTGACTAACTGCTTTGTGTTTAGATTTAGATCGTCCGGTAGCTTATATAATCATAGTATCATAGCCCACCCGGACAGTCGGGGCTTGTAGTGGGGCGCCAACGCGCGCACCCGCCTCCTCACGATCAACTCTTTCCATCAAGCATGTCTCAGTCTTGCCTATCCAAAGCTGTCGTTCATAAACCTCCCATTCGACCATCCGTTGACAGGCCATCTGTGATCCTCTACGGAGCCATACAGCCCGATCCCAGTAAAGACTGGCAGACCCATCTTGCAGCCTCACTCTCTGACCTCCCCATCGCTATCCTGAATCCACGCCGAGATGATTGGGATAGTAGTTGGGTTGAAGACATCTCTTTCGCGCCCTTCAAAGAGCAAGTTGAATGGGAAATGGACTACGCGCGCGTAGCCGATGTCATAGTTTTCTATTTCGCAGGTGACGCTAAAGCCTTACAGCCCATCACGCTGCTAGAATTGGGGCTTTATGCGGGAACAGGCAAGGCTATTGTCTGCTGTCCAGAGGGCTTTTGGAAGAGAGGTAACATACAGATTGTCTGCGAGAGATATGGTGTCGACTTGGTTGAATCCGTGGGGGAGTTGGGAGATAAGGTACGAGCGAGGCTGTTGGTAAAGCTTAATGAGGGGTCAACCGCCTCGAAACCAGACAGTACCCTGGAATAGCGTCCCGATCCGCGTCGCGCTTTCGACTACTTACACACATCTCTAGACGCCTGTGCCCAAGGCTGCCAGATTAGGCCATTCAATTTCTAATTGTTCAGCTGCCAAGCAAAGCCACCGTATCGTCCTTCGCGTTGGGTCTCTTGTATTTGCCGCTTAACCTTGTAAGAAATGAGTGCGTGGTTAATCACCCCAGGTCGTGCGCTCGGGCAAAGATGCAAGGTATCACGAGCGTATAGTAGCCTGATATCTGCAAGCCGTCGCATCGTGGGGGTCTAGGGCTAACGCCCTGTTCAAAGACCAGTCTCGAGCTAAACTGCAGATTGGCAGAACAGGCAGAACGCCGCTAACAGTGCTGAATTGCAATTTGTACATTTCAGCAACCTATCGCGAAAGTCCACGCCAGGTCACTGACACATGCGGGTTGAGCCTTGCCTTCGTCTTTTGACACTTTCAGATTCCACTTCTAACACACGCAATCTGCACGCTCCTAATCTCACGAAATCTCCCTGAGCGATCAGTGGTTATGGCTGGAGATCTTCGACTCCTCAGCCTCGATGGAGGAGGCGTACGCGGTTTGGCTTCACTTTATATGTTACGGAAGATATTGTCCTTGGTTGGCAGTCCGAAGCCTTGCGACTATTTCGACATGATCTGTGGAACGAGCACTGGGGGTTTGATTGCTATCATGCTCGGCCGACTGGAAATGTCCGTTGATCAGTGTATTGAGGCATATACCGGTATGATGGACGTTATATTTGACCCCAAAGACAAGAAAAAGCTGCCATTCAAGATTCGTAATGGCAAAGTTCAGCCTCAGTACAAGACAAAGTACATGGAGCAGGCGATCAAGCAGGTGGTAAGTTATGACTGTACGAAATGCATGTGAGACAAACACTGACTTCGTATGTCCACATCCATAGATGTCCAACGCTGGGTGGACATCGGATGACAGATTCAGAGGGTCGAAGAACTCGAGTTGTAAAACGTATGCTATCGATCCCTCCCATTTGGGGACTGGGCACTAACTCGACAAGGGTCGTGATTGCTTTGACGGCAGAAGGCAGAGCTCCGACACGCTTTACAGATTACGAGAGACCTGGCGAGCATTCTAACTTCTATAATGAAGTCAAGATCTGGGAAGTAGCTCGTGCTACATCGGCGGCAACATCTTTCTTCGCACCGATGGAAATCACCCATGCCGGTGAGCCCAGGCGCTTTCTTGACGCAGGTATCGGATCCAACAATCCTATCAATGAATTGTATCTGGAAGCAATGTCGCAATTCGACAAATCTGAAGAAGAGTTTGACAAGCAGATTCGGGTATTAGTGTCTATTGGTACCGGCAGGCCAGTATTGCATGGATTCGGTGAGAAGGTTACCGAAGTTGCAAAGAGCATTGCTTCTATTGCGACTGAAACTCAGGACACAGCGAATACGTTTCACCTGACGCACAGAAAACTGGCCAACCGGGGTGGATACTTCAGGTTTAATCCTCCCGACCTTTCTGGGGTGGCGATTGACGAGTCGAGCAAGAAAGGTATTATTGCATCGCGAACTGATACGTACGGCAACGACGCACTTACCTTGGAGATGGTAGAGCGCTGGGTGGCTGTGGCCGGATTTGAGAAAAGTGCGTCGACCCTCGCTGAATCAATTGAAATGATAGATTTCACCTAACGGTCTCTTACATGGGCTGCGTTACATAGTATATAGATCAATGCTGACTACTGGGATGTGATAGAACAAGTTAGCTCACCAGCGATACAACCAGCTCACGTAAAGTCTCCGACAACCAAACTCTTCTATTCGTTGCACAAGGGGCCTAAGTACATCAAAGAGTATGCGCCGTCGTACTGGCAGCATCTAACGCTCGACTCATACTACGTATACGAAAATATATACGACAGGTGCGGGCCCAAAGATCGAAAAGTCACTTGTATGTATTATCAACCTTGCAGCAGATCCCTGCAAGATCTAACAGCTCTCAAGTCAACGCATTCTTCGAACAATTTGATTCTAATCAGAAACCATCGCCCAACCACGTCTTCGAGACATGGACGCGTCTTCTCCGTGACAAGCAAGACGTGCGCAACAGTGTCCATCGTAAGCCGTTCGTGATGGCAGCATTATACATGATCCACATCGAGTCGAGTCTTGACGTAGCCAAGATGACAACCATAGACCCTAATCGACGCGAAATGCTCAAGCGGTTTACGAAATGGGTTCCATGCCAATGTGACGCTCGCTGTGGTCGTGATTGGAATTTTGTAAATGAAGTTGGGCTATCGCGAGGAGGAATCGGTGGAGAGGATTGCGATCTTCTGAAAGTGTTTAAAAGCAGTAACTGGAAGCTGATGTTCAGGAGCGACAAGGTACGCAAACTGGAGGCTACCAGAAAGATATGGGAGGCAGCACTCTGAAGGAAGTTTATACTCTCTTCACTATCGTCTTTTCCAATCCTATTCAACGTGTCTATAAGCGTCGAAGTTGGGCAGAGTAAAGTAGGATACAGAGTAGGTCGCCATCCATCTATCACGCTGATTCAGCATTCAATTCTATCGTGCTAGAATCATAAAATATCGAGCATACTGTCAGGGCTTATTCCACGGCTATACATCAATAAGACCTGTATCCATAGCCGCTGTGCTGTTCGTGCAGTGTCGCCATTGGCCTCGCCATGTCACTTGCAGTGACACCAGAATAATCACTAGCAGCGACAGATGGTGGCGCGTCCGGATTCGCTCCGAGAGGGGTTCTGCTACTCCAAGAGGGTATGTACTCAGAACGGGGGCCACTTGTGACAGTTGGCTGGTATGGCATCTGTTGAGGCCTGGTTTGTTGAACGATTTCTTTGTCCCGCTGGTGCTGCTTGAAAAACCTTTTCCAGCAACAGCAGTATCCGACCAGCAGAGCAATGATGAGAACAACGGCAGCGGCCACTGATATGAGAGCAATCGCAGTTGTACTGAGTGGACTACTGTTGGCGACAGCGACCGAAGGGCCGTTGGGTGCAGTAGTTGCCCCGGAACCGCTGGTGATTGAACGAAAAAGGTCATCAAGTCCCGTAGTGTCAGATTCCAGTGTTTGAAAAGTGCCATCTGTAACAGTCGCAAGCACGAGGATGTCATCTGAAGCTGTTCCGCATGCCCACGAATAGAATGTTTCCTTTGCTCCGAGTACAGAGCTGCGAGCATAACGGAAGCACTGCTGTGCTTGCTGTGAGCTGTATTCTGCGATCAGCAATCGTCGTTTCGCGAAAGATTTGGGAGACATACCATTGAAGGATCGAGCCGTATATGGAAGAGCAGGTATCCTCTGGTAGGGCTACACCCATACAGTCGGTCTGACCATATGGCCGGCATGTAGCCCAATCATCGAGACACTCGACATTGTTGCAGCATGCAAAGCCGAGTTGTAGGTTCTGTGTAGTGATGCAGGCATAGTCCTCTGCACATGTGATAGGTAGTGCTATTTCGGATCAGATGTGAACTACTTCCAGAAGGTGAAGCACGATGTACCTGAGTTGCCGCGAACGAAGCCGCATGTCGCAATAGACCTCTTGAAGACATCGCCGTGTACTAGAGGTGCTGGTGTGATAACACTCGCTGATATTGTTGCCTGCACTTTTGTGCTCTGTACCTGCAGATCGGGAATATATTTCGCAACGACCAGTGATGCAATCCGTAGGGTGCAGAGATAGAGACACAGTTGCATCGCGATCTATGTATAAATAATATGGTACAACTTCCTATGGTGTTGTAGATGCCAGCGAGAGATGCGTCGATGATCCACGGGTGCTGTACCTGTCCTCGGCTACCCTTGTTCCTCAAGCTGAGAAGGCAAAGCCTCAGCCTTCCTGCACAAGTCTACATGATTGTGACACATCGGTCTGGCCGAGCGCCACCAATAATCGTACCTCGTATCTTTGGGTGTCCTATGCGCCGGCGGCTTGTGGGACATAGGGTCAAGCGTGGGGTATATTCTGTAAGCTTATCAGAGGTGAAAGCGATGGTACGGCGCGATCTGAAAAACTTGTCGCAACAGGTATCTGCCCAACAGACTAGAGTAATATGATTAACGCGAAAATGGTGATGGAGCTTGACCTGCGAGTGGTATTCATGGATATTCAGATTGAGCGCGAAGAGCGTGCAGTCCGTCCCTGAAACGCCGTATGACACAAGGCTGGCACTGATACTGGAGAGAGACATTGGACTAATAATGACGCGAGTGGATCATTGGGAAGGCAGACGTTGGGGTTGAGGCCGACGGGCTGAACGCGCCCATCAGGAACCAGCATGGCTGAGCTGCACTGCAGGCTGTAACGCGCTCTGAAGCACACCCATCTGGCACAGTGCAGTCGGAAAGTAGCATGCGTGGATCAGGAATCAAGGAATGTAGATGAAGCTGTGCTGCCAATGGCCTTTCGCCAGTGAGAGAACTGTGTACTATGACCGTCATCGCATGTGGTAAGGCACCGTGCGAGGGAATGAGGCATCGTGTAACGGTGCTACGTCACATACGACGCTAACTCGTCCCAGCCTCTTCTATTTCCGTAAGTCGTTCCTTTCAACCATCACATACTCCTATCGAACGATAATTCAACAGGAAGGCACTATTAGTCTCAGGTATTAAGATAAACAGGCTTTGAAAGTATCGAAGATAAGTTGAATATGTCTACGCGCGTTTCCGCTTTGACTATTCTTATAAAGTGTACGGCTCCTGCTTCCATGAAACCCTTCTCTCGTCTCTCATCCTGTCAAACCTTATCACACTCTGCAGCAAAACTTGCGCGCCTAACGCACAGTCTTCCTCTTTACAAAATTCCCTTGGGTTGTGGCTCACACCTTCCCTGCATGGCACAAAGATCATGCTCGTTGGGCAGCGTTTACTTGCGTAGACGCTATCGTGTCCAGCGCCAGACGTCATCTCCATAGACTGATTGGGACCGAGGATGCTACGCGCAGATTGGCTGACAGAGGTGATACAATCTGCGTGAAACGTTGTTGCTGGGCTATCAAAATCCTCGATTATCTCAACAGTAAGTGGAAGACCGCCTGTGCAGCCGTGGTTCGAGCCCTCAACGTCTTCACCTGCAGCTATCTTGGGGAAGTCGCGCAAAACTAGCTCTTTCATCTTTGCAACCGTCTCGTCGTTTGGTGATCTGATGTCGAGACTGAATGACACATCTCCAGGTACTGTATTTGTCGAGCCAGGTTTAAGGTTGAGTATACCGGTGGATGCTAACGCAGAGTTGGCGGTTGCGAGGCGATGGGAATGTAAAATCATCTTGCTTGCTGTTAGTAGAGCATCAGCCCGTGACTTGAGATCCGTGGTTCCAGTGTGCGAGTCTCGTCCCTTGACCTTGATTGTCATCCATTTGTAAGCTTGAACTCCAGTGACAACTCCGATCTTTTTGTTTGCCATCTCCAACAAGGGACCCTGCTCGATATGCAACTCAAAGTGCGCCGCCATGGGCATGGACTTGTAGCTCGCTGGCGTACTTCCTAGGTAACCAATTCGCTCAAGTTCAGACTTCATGGTTGCAGCTCCAGGGTGAACTTCGCGGAGATTATGTGCCGTTCCAAGAGGGATTGACCCTGCCCAAACTCCGCTAGAGACCATCGACATTGGAAACCGAGCGCCCTCCTCATTGGTCCAGTTGACTACTCCGACAGGGTATTCAGTCTCTGTCCAGTTGTCGGAGAGCACTCTGAGCATTTCCACACCAGCAGTGACTCCCAGAATCCCATCATATCGCCCACCAGTAGGCTGTGTGTCTAGGTGACTTCCAACAAATGTAGGCGGCTTGTCATTTCTTAGTCCAGGACGAACGGCGAACTGATTTCCCATGGCATCAACAGTGACTTCACAGCCGAGCGACTTTGTGGTCTCTGCGAACCAGTCACGTGCGGCTTTGTCGGCATCAGAGAGCGCCAGTCGACTCATGCCCGTCTCCGTTGACTTCCTGTTATCGTCAGCTGCATGATTATCGAGTGCTTGGGCTACATACTCGCCCCAAGGCTCGCCTATACCCCATTGACATGTATGGTGTATGTCTTCCATCAACCTCGCCTGATTGACTTTCAGATCCTTCATCGAATCATCGTTCAGCTCCTTGGTTCTCATCTGCCATTGTGGCGAATGGGAGAAGCATCTGACATGCTTGCATCCTATCCTTATTCTTGAAGTCGGTACAGCTATCAATGCGGGGTAGCGCCTACTCGCAATGCGGAGCGCAACAGTGAACTTGTTAGCTGACAGAGCCATTTCGTGAAATCAAGTGAGAAAGAGAAGAGACGGAAACCATCGCGGCACGGGCTATGGAAGTCGGCATCTCAAAGGATGGCATGACATGGCAGGCGCCCAGTCGTAGGGAAGGAGTGGGTCGGATGTCCGATAACAGTAGCGCGGGACTATTCCGCTTCCTGATATGCAGGTTATCCGTCGGCTGAGGTGTGTCGGAGTATGCAAGGATAAAATGGTTATAGTAGTCTGAATTTTACCAGCGGCAGTTCTATTTGCTAGTATGTTAGTTGTTCAAGATGGAGACGATGCAGGGTTACAATGGCCAAAAGACCATGCTCCATGTACTAAGAGCATTTTCACTGAAATTGGGTATCTATCGACGAACTGGGTTAAATGATCATGGCGCCTTTGCATGCTGCTCAAAACAAACTCCTTGCTCCAAAACTAATTGCCTTTACGACAAGCCTTAGACGGCCTTTGCTTTTCCTTTCCCTTCAATTACTGGCTTCACGTCCTCCTCAGAGACATCGTCCTCTTCTTCGCTGTCGCTCATGAATTCTTCATCTTCATCGTCCCAGCCAAACATGGCTCGCTGTTGAACAGGCTTCGATGAAGAAGCGGCCGGTCGAGCGTCGTCCTCCTCTTCTGAACTGTCTCTTTGCGCCATAAGCATCTTCTCAATAGCTTCCCTCGTTTTGTTCTCTGCTTCCTCTTTGTCCTCAACCCACTTGCCATCAAGACGTGCTGTGCCTCTGCTATCCTGTAGCTCTTCCTGCTTCCGCTCGGTACTGGCCACAATGTCCTCCCACTTCTTCCGGCGCTCCTCCTTTTCACGTTGCTCCATCTCCGGCTTGATCGCTAGGTATTCGGCGAGTACCTTGGCTTCAGTGACTGTGCGCAGGCGTCGCCCGTCCAAGTTGCGGGACGATCCATTCACGTCGCCCTGCTTCTTCTTGCGCGAGGACATGCGACCACCTTGGGCGCGCAAGATTGACCCGAAACCACCTTTGCCACCACATAGCGGTACCGTCAGACGAAGCGATAAAAAAGTATCTGCGGGCGAGGAGAGGAGTGATGACACTGGTGCAGCGTCGTGGCGAACAGAGCGGCGCGAGTTGGTGGTCAGGATGTAGGACGAATTTTGAATCCATGGCGCACGTTTATAGAGCGTGTCGTAGATGCAAGTAAGAGGCGCGTCTTTTTGCGTTGCGAAGGCGATGTTTTGCCCGCGGATGCTGTTGACGATGATGGTAATCGGAGACTGCATGGTGGCGTCCATGGTTGCAGGTCACGATGCGGAGTGCGAATACAGATTTTGATGCTGTGGATTGCGCGTGGGAAGGGTGAAAGTTGTTTGGTTAGGCAGGGCGGCGGCGGCAGTTGAAGGTTGGGGAGCAGGCTGGCCTTGGCGGAACCACAACAGATGGTCATAGCGCTCGCTTAGACTAGCCTCGCACCTCTGCTCGAAATCGTCTTTCGGCCAGCGAACTTCTGAACTCATCGACCTTCAACCACTCCTAGCATTCCCGAGTCTTTCGCAACCCGTCAAGATGCTCATCCCCAAGGCCGACCGCAAGAAGATCCACGAGTTAGTCTACCCCTACCATCGTCATTGTCACGGCGCAGTCGAGGTCGGAGTTTCGCACGAAATGATACGACTTGATATGAGCTGAGCTACATTTGACTCTACACTATACTCGTCAACAGATTGGCTAACATTTGTCTCTCCAGGTACCTCTTCCGAGGTTAGTATCCCCACGTACTCGCGAGCCATGGCTATGGCACAATTATACATTTTCGCGGCTCTGCTGCATATAAGGACAGGCTGACACACGGTCACCACAGAGGGAGTTCTGGTTGCTAAGAAGGACTTCAACCTTCCCAAGCACGGCGAGATCGACACCAAGAATCTCTACGTTGTCAAGGCTTGTCAGTACCACCGACTGCTCCGCAACTCCGTCAGGTTCTAACAACCAACAGGCCAGTCTTTGACCTCGCGCGGTTACCTCAAGACCCGCTTCTCGTGGCAATGGTACTACTACACCCTCACCCCTGAGGGTCTCGACTACCTCCGCGAATGGCTCCACCTCCCTGCCGAGATCGTTCCCCAGACCCACATCAAGCAGCAGCGTTCTGCTCCTCCCCGGGGTATGCTCGGCGGTGACGACCGTGAGCGCCGTGGTGGAGGCCGTGGTGGACGTGGTGGTGACCGTGGTGGTGACCGCGACGGCTACCGCCGCCGTGACGCCGGCGAGAAGGCTGAGGGCGGCGCCCCTGGCGAGTTCAAGCCCGAGTTCCGTGGTGGCTTTGGCCGTGGACGTGGTGCTGCTCCTGCTTCGTAAGCAGTTGAGGACTTTCTGGAGTAAGGCTAGATACGGTTTCATCTTCATGTCGGGCTTTACTGCATTACAAAATGGGATCGGAAACGGCGAAATGACCGGATGATACTACGAATGGATCGCTTGTCTAAGTTGCGATGACGCAGTCTTGGACGACCATGTCCTCAATGATACCCCATAACACCTTCAGTGAGCCCTTCCTCTGACGTGTTTCCTATGTATGCGTCTCCATGTGGTACCTCGTATTGGGCAGACCCATGTTCGTATCACTGCTAGTAGTCTGGGGGGTTATGAGCTCTTAGTGTTCCGCTTCTGACCTATAACGACATAGACACATGTATCTCAATGCCCGCCTTTCGCAGTCTTCATCAGCCCATCGCCACTCTTCATCCACACGGCGCAAATGTACTCGATAGTCTGCCCGCCCATTTCTCGTTCTACCAAACTCCGCAAGGATGCCAGTTTCTCCTCCATATTTTTGTGGCTATTCCCACCTTCGTCTCCTTTGAGCGACTTCTTCCCCAGCACAGCCATATTCCTCGTACTCGGAATCCTCAAATGTTCTTTTTCGACAAGATACCCCGTCTCCTCGGTCAGATGACACACCCAACTACACAGACTAGCGTATGCAGAAGGCTGCTTGAGCTTCTTCGACGCTGCTGTGGCTGGATCAGCGATGATATATTTGGCGTGCGCCGGCGAGCGAAATCTCGTGCCACCAAAGTCGTGCGAACAACAAGGTATGGCGATGAAAGGCGAAGAGTTTAGTCGGGCTAGCAACGGCGTCCAGGGTGTCAATTCATCGGCGTGATTACTGATGATGAAGGTGCCGGATGGGAAGACACCGTTGTGGTGTGGCGTTGGGGGATCAGTCGAGGTTGAAGAATATGGCTGAACAATCTCCGGTACCAGAAGCATCTCTTTCAGCTTTTGGGCGTGTTCTGATGGGAATGTATCCCATGTCTTTCTGCGACGGGCGTCAAAGCCCCAACCATGCCAGCCTTCGGCGTTGAGAATGTGGACGAGAAGACCGTTTCCACATCCGATATCTACAAAGCCCGGAAAGTTGGCCTGTGCTATTTGCCTTTTCTGCTCCACCTGCTCATCTCCGTCATCTTGCTCGTGTGTACCGTTCTTGGAGCTGTACATGTCTCCCCAAAGCTCCATCAGAAACGCTGCAATGCCTAGATCCTCAAAGACATGTTTTTCGGCGGGTGTCTGCTCCACCCATCCCTCGATCAAATCTTTCGCATATCTGCCCTTTAAGTACGCATATGTATCTTGGAATCTTTTCTGTCCAATTATTTGGTCGTGATGAACACGTTTCGTATACCCAGCCTGCCGACCGCGTGAGTGTTTGTGTATGACTTCCAGAAGCTTAAGAGCCGTGCGGGAGAGACGATTGTCGATCAGAAGGTCCGGGAAGAAAGAGTAATGAATAGACAGATGCCCAGATGCATTGATCAGGGATGTAGGCGGTGAGTGAGAGGAAGTTGGGAAGTGGGTATATAGCATTGCTAAAGAACGAACTTTAGGATGGTAATAGGGGATAGCTTCCGATGTGGCAGCGTGAGGGATGTATACCATCATGTACCGCTCTGCTTTTACAATGTCCTCAGCTCCATCTGGACCGATGATGTTCACGTCCTGATGCGACACAAACATGTGACAGGTTTGCATCAACGAGTCATCCAACTTCGGATTCCGGGGTATGAGTTTCCGCACAACTGTGTACTCTAGCTCGTACCCTTCTATGCCTCCATCGATCAGTTGCGGTCGGCATTCTGGTCGCAGGTGCTTGACAATGCTTGCGAGATCCTCTGAAGTACTGGCTTTGGGGTTGAACGTAGCGTCTGTGAAACTTTGATACGAGAGCTCTGCGCGTGCCAAATGCGTTGAAGTCCGGTTCGGATTCTGAAGCAAATCGCGACTGACCTCGAGGAAATACTGAGGCGCAATATTTGCTGGCGCAGACTGTACGATAGCCCATATCTCGGATGGAAGGCCACTAGAAACTTTGGGTGCACTGGATACGTCGTAAGGTGAGAACTTGTCATTTGTAAGTTCTCGGTTCTCGACTTTCGTTACCGGTTGCGCTTCTTCCACCCCGGAACGATTATCTTGTGCCTCGGTAATGGATGATTCGTTTCTGTGACTCCTTGTTTGTTCGTCTCGACCCATTCTGGTTGATCTATCTCTTGGTTTGGAGTGACTAGCCCACAAACTTGATTCCAAAATTCGCACAGATCAAGCGTTTATCGAGTCGCGGTAATCCAGACAGCATATAAAGGGTTCTGTCACCGGTAGGTATCTGACTTCGAAGATTTTGGTTGGGTTTTATTCCTTCAAGATGGGTGATGGTGACAATGGTGTTGGTGTGAGAAGTGCAACCGAGCAAAATGGGTTCTAGTCGGTCCACCACAGTCCGAAAGAGTAATGAACACGACGGAGACCAACTGGGAACACATATCAAATGCGCTTTTTGATTCATTCTTAGCTGAAGCCCCACACGCGTCATGACGGCCGTACAGTCTAGGTTCCTATCTATGCTTGTACTTCGGGCGCAAATGTCGATGAAACCACGGAACAGTCGGAGCAGGCGCACGTATAAGCCATGACGTAACTCGATGGCTTTTGCACACAGCTTTGAGCCACTATGTCGTGAAAGCTCTAGTATGTAGCTGGAGTCTATCGAATCTCTATCTCTCATAGATCTAATAGTCCCTTCAAGCCCTAGAAAACGCCTCCATAATGCACGTCCCAACCGACCCCAGCTCAGCCCTTAGCGCCCGTAGTAATGCGCCATCTCGAGTCCTGCTCTCTTGAAGCCACACTTGACGTAGAATCCTTCATTTGCTTCTGAACAATCCAGAATAGTCTTGTAGCAGCCCACCTTTTCTGCAACAAAGTCGAGCGCCTGGATAATCCTCAGTCCGAGCTTCTTGCCCTGCTGGTCTTTGGCCACGGCAATATCCTCAATGTGTCCGACAAGGCCGAGCTGATGGATGAACTTGCGCTCGACGATGAGGGCACCAGTGCCGACAATGGCATTGGATGAGTTGGTGATGCAGAGAAGGTAGTATTCGTCGTTGCGAGTCTTCATCCAGTCGTAACGTTCGTTCCATTGCTGGAAAGCATGTTAGTGATACGCTTTACGCATATTTGTGAGGGCCCTGGGACTCTGGGACTCTGGGACTCTGGGACTCTCGTGTGCATATTCCAAGGAAAAGAGAGGATCTCGTACCTCCTCAGTTATGTCTCCCACCGTGGTGAGCACCCTGAGTACATCCAGGAAGCCATTGTGGTAGTCTTTCCTCTCGAGCGGTCGACAGCTGTAGCCCTCTGGGAGTGCTTTGAGGACTTCGGGGGAGATGAGCTCAGAGCTGAAGAGCGGGCCTTCCGTCGATGACATCGTGGGCTGAGATTGAGTTGAATCCGGGAGGTGAGAAGACGAGAGGATGTAGGAGAATAAGCAAGCTTGCGACGCGATCGACCAGTCTTCCGGAGCTGGTGGTACTGCGCGAGACTGGGGGTCGCGGGGCGTTTCTGCGACTTATCGATAAGAGGGGCGGTGAGAACAGAAGCACGATACCGAGGAGGGCTAGGAGCTTCCTGTGAGCTTCAACGATATGTTCAGAGGGCGACGTAAACCAAAAGTTAGAAAAAACTCCAATCTTCTTCAAGTGCAGCAAGGTGGCTACTATATGTGCTGTCGGTAGCTGGAAAACACGCCAAGCATTCAGGAACCAGGGCTAAATTTGGAACTTTCAGGGAAGCTTCGTCATGATCTTCAGGAGCATTCTCGTGTCCATAATGCACCAGCCTTATTCGGTCACAAGCAATCGTGACATCTCGTATTGCGACTTCAGGGTAACAACAGAGACCAACCCAACTTCCTAGTTGCCTCACCTACTGCAATCTCAATCCTCATTGCAAAACCTCAACTTGTCTGAGCGCCTTCAACACATTTTCAGGCCTCAAATCACCGCTCCCAAGTTCGAGCCCTAAAATCTTGGCCAACGCCTCTGTCAACTCCATGTTCTGTCTCTGCAACAGCATGACCCGCTCCTGCATTCGCGCCATCTTATTAATAATACTCTCATCCTCTATGCTTTCATCATGGACACTGTCGATTTCAATATTTGATTCTGAAAGCGGCTCTGGTGTATGCGCTGGTGTTGGCAAGGCTTCCACGACAACATCGGAATGCTGTTCTTTTTGCTCGCAGTATCCTGGTAATGGCTTTCGCTTAACACGCTGCAAGTCTCGCAGCTTCCGAGCTCTGGTTTGATATTCTCGACTTATTCGTGGCCCGAGCGGATGGTCTTCGATGGGTACTGCTTCGGGTGATTTAGGAAGCTCCTTCAAGCTGCGCGGCGATACCGGGATCGGCTCAGAGAATGAACGACTGAGAACTTCAGGGTCGGACATTTTGCGCTCCACGCCTAGGCTGGCGACAGGGCTAAGAATCTCTGTGTTAAACGTAATGGAAATATGTCGAGAGCGTCGTTGTGTCGGAAGCTGCGATGTTGGGACAGCCATCACCTGAGTATTGCAAGGACTCTCAGTAGGTATGACGATTCTGAGATGTTTTGCGCCTCCAGATGTTGTCATCTCGCGAGCGCACGTTGGGATAGGAGACTGTTTGCGTGCTCGCTCGGGAGAGCCTTCCACAGATCCTACGCGAGCAGCTAGGGTTTTGCGCTGTTTGACCTTGAAAAGTACCATCGTCTTCTTGCGCTGCTGTATGGTAGGCTGAGAATCCGTGCCTGGTCCAGTGTGCTTGAGGTAGTAACTGAGATCATTTAGGCCCAGATCAGCGCTTGCTGTCAGTGCATCGTGACTAAGAATTGGTGGCGCCAACCGTCCTACCTGCGAGGAACCTACGTGGCCAGCTTGTCCTACATCGAGGCGTTTTAATATTCGCTTCTTCGGGACGTGGAAATTATCTTCCAGCTTGTCATTCTCGTCACCAGACGAATGTTGCCCGTCAGCTACAAAGGCAAATTCGCCATGCGCAGAGATGGCTGACTCAGTCTGAGCTGGAAACGTTGGGTTTGTGAGCCGCTTCGGGCTACGGCCCGGCACTGTTGGTGGTAGCTCATTCAGATCGAGCTCACCAATAGCATGGATCTCCGTAGGCTTTCTGGTCATCTCAGAAACAGGTGGTTCAGGAGACATGGGAAGAGGAATATCTTGCGGGTCTGGCGAATAAGCGTGGCAAAGTGTTTCCGCTACAGATACTGGACCGCTCGTCTGGCTGTCGAAGTATCTTTGGATCACTCCAAAAGTACCCATTTCTCCAACTTGCTCCGTTTCCATCTCAGGTAGCAGTTCGCTCATAGTGTCGTAGCTAGCCTTGCGTCGGTACTTGGCAACTAGGGGCTCCAGTGGCGCATGTCGTGTAGCATTTGTTAAACTTGGAGTCGTGACTTTGAACGGTATTTGGCGCCGCTGGCGCTTCTTGTCTTGTGGGCGAGTTATTGGTGACCTTGCAATTCGAATGCTGACATCGCGGTCTGCATCTTCACAAGGGAAGGTAGAGCGCGGCTCGTATGTAAGCACTCTGGCCAAAGGGACAGACGACGAGCGTCGACATGTCTTCCCCGATGGCTGATAGACGTCTGATGATGATGGCGACGAGATCTCCTTGGAGTCAGGTTCGGTCGCATTCTCAAACTCGCTTGGAGTGGACTCCCCGGTTGTACGAGACACTATCGATGAGCTATAGGCATGTGGTCTGGTGGTAGTACAATTGTTGCTCACTGAACGAGCTCCTTGGGATGTCCTAGGACGAGAATAGTTCTCCTTCGAAGTTCCTGAAGGTTGATAGACGTTACATGGCTTTGTGGGCTGCATTTCGAAGTCTCGTGGGGTGTGGTTGAGAAAGCTGTGTTTGCGTCTTTGTTGACAGCCAAACTCATCTATAAACCGCACCGGCGGTGAAAGGTCGCAGCCAGTCGGTTGAGTCCCTGCAGTGGTCGGTGGGGTGTTTTCGTCCTGCGTCGACGCCGTTGACTTGCGCATGGACGACTCAGACGTCACGCTTGTGTTCATCTTAGAACTCTCTTCCAGCGCCCAGGCATATTCAAGAACACTCCACCTGGTGTGCCCGAACATTGGAAATGAGTTCAAAAGATTTTCTGTGGAAGTAGACGACATCATATCTGCAACCTGGTTGGCATTTACCCTAAAAACAGATGTCCGGATTGCGATACTCTTCTCGTTTTGATGCCTAAGCGCGAGCCGTGAGTATAGCTTAGCAGGGTACGCTGGGTGATAACGTGGCACAACCAGGAGATCACAAACTCAGCAGATGCAGTCGTGTTGTATTGCATGAAGTATGCTGATTGTTGGCTGCTACCCCAACCAGGGGTAAGATGAAAGGTTCGTATCGTTGATTGGCAGGGGCGGCTTTGATCTGACTTTAGTGTGTGGAAAATATGGCGACCGGCAGCCTTCTTCACGCTCAAGCTTGATGCAGATGAGACAGGTTCTCAGATTTGAGAGGAGGAAAGTCATGTAGTGTAATCAGGGGCGGATCTGAGGGTAAGGATCACTTCTCGAGCTCGTGGTGCTGAGAGGCGAGGCAACGTGACACTACAGCGCGTTGACAGCGAAGCCGGTAGTCGATAACGAGGTCGTGCACAGGTTGGAAGAGGTTCTTTGTCGCGAAAGATATTGAAATTGAATACTGTTAGTGCAAAGGAATGTCGGAAATATGCGTGAAGGAAAGGAAGACTGCATCCGGGGAGTATGAATTATTAGTTCGCTGCTCACAAAACATAGTGAAGATCGCACTAAAATGCATGCTGCAAGTTAGCCACGATCTGGGAAATGTGCGACTGGACGACGATGATAATTGGGTGCATAAGTATGTAGTACAAGTGTGCGAAGGTGATTGGCCGCCCGGTAGTACAAAAGATTGTGAATGCCATGCGGCTTGCCCAATCCGGCGGCAATAGGGAGAGCCTTGCTGATAGTACGCTTTGGTAGAAACTAGAAGAGACGCCATGCTGATTCATGCGTCAGACGGATCGTTGATTCTCGCTTGAAGAGTATGGGGTGCAGGATCCAACAATCGGCAATGGGCGGTGTGCGTCATGGTAGTACGGGAGCGCCTGACTAGCGGGACAAATTCATGGCCCTAGTGCATTCGCGACCACAGCGACCACAAATAGACGCGTTATACACGACGTGCGCAATGGACCAAAGATGTCAATTTCCGCATTTGGAGCCCAGAACATGCTGTAAATGTATGTCCCGGGGAAACGATTAAGCACGCGGCACGCATGTCGATCGTCACTTGCCGGATTTTAGCCACGAAGTGCCTTTTTAGGTTTCGTGGCCGATCTTCGTCCGATGTGATACAGGGCATATGGCCCCAGAAAGAGATAGTCTCGGATAGCTATGTATACATAAAGATATGAATGAACGCCGGGCAATGTTAATGAAAGTGTCCGCCCACTCAGAAGGCGCCAAATGCTAATAGAAAGAGAATATTGCTGAAGCATGCACATAGGAAAATAATGCTACTTCGGCCCCTCCCGCCGGTTCGGTTGTTGTACCGTCAGCCGTTCCTTGGCTTCTTATTTTTGATGAAAGGGTTTGGTGGTTCACGAGGCCGCCTACGGATTTTAGGCTTTGCCATCGACATGCCGCCGATGACATCTCCGGGCGGGGGAGCGACCACACCATTCGTCCCGTTGCTTGTCTCTCCATTGGGTGTCGAGCTCTTGCGCGATACATCAGCAATAGCGGCAGGAGTTGATCGGCCACTGCCTCCATTCATTGTATTGGAGGCAGAATCAGATGGAGCATCCTCCATTTCTGCATCGCTACTCTCAAGCTTGATTTTATCAAGACCAGCGATGTCTTGAAACTTCCGCTTTTCGTGATGTACCAGTATTTGTTCGTCGTTGGTTTCCGTCTTGACCTCTTGTTTGATAGACTTCGAGTCAGAGCCTGAAGATGTACTAGACTGGTTGCTTGCAGACCTGCTCATGGGCTCCGACTTCACTTCTAGTTTGACTTCTGGTTTGACTTCTGATTTGATCTCTGTTGTAGGACGGTGAGGTTGTACATAACCTTCCTTTGGTGCCGGAAATTTACTGGAATGTTGGTTCAGCATCTTTGGCACGTCTTGAGCAGAGAACCGTTTCCTCTCCTTCGCGTCTACTATAAGCTTCTTCCAGAATTCTCCTCGCATAAGCGAGTCAGAGTTTCCTAGAACCCATAGAGACGATTTGGCACGTGTGAGACCGACATTCATACGCCGAATGTCCTGGAGGAAACCAACGCCACCTGCTGGGGAGGCTCGTACGCAGGAGAAGATGATGATCTCGCTTTCACGACCTTGGAAAGCATCTGTGGTATTGAAATCAATGTCTTCAATGATATTCTGACCGTATG